AGAGAGAAAAAGAGAGAGAGAGAGAGAGAGAGAGAGAGAAAGCAAGCCGCCAGGTCCAGGACTTAAACCATGGCCAGTCATGTGTGAATTCCAGCACCTTAACTACCATGCCACCTGCTGGCCCTCTACTGACTACTTTAACAATCAAACTGGGGGGCCAGTAGGTGGCGTGGTGGTTAAGGGTGCTGGACTCCCATATGGCCAGCCAACTGCAGTTTGATTCCCAGACCTGGCGGCTTGCTTTCTCGCTTTCTCACTTCTTTTCTCTCTCTCCCTCTCTTCCTCCCTCCCTCCCTCTCTCTTTCTCTCTCTCTGTCCTTCTCTGGTCAAATTAAAATAAATAAAGTTAAATAAAATAATTTTTAACAAAATACTCCTACAAATCAATCAATAAGAAAAAAAGGACAACATAGGCTGGCCCTGTGGCTTCGTGGTTAAGGAAGCTGGATCCCACATGTCTGACCACATGGTCTGAATCCTGGCCCTGAGACCGGAAAAGCGCATGTATATACCCCAAATCCCAGCAGGACAGAGAAAAGGAGGAGAAGGAATTGAGTTATGACGATGCCCCACTCGGGGGCAACTTCTCCCTCTCTGGCAACTGCATTTGCCCTCTGGAAATTAAAAAAGTAATAATAAAATTTAAAAAGACAATATAATAGAAAAGTGGGCAAGCGGCTTGGATAGGCACTTCATGAAAGATAATAATCAAATGCTATAGGGTGTGCATGATCCCTGGAGAGAGAGAGACAAAGACAGAGTGAAAGTTAGAAAATCACCCCTCAAGGGGATGGCCATGCTTTAATCTCCTCTCCTCCATTCTCCTCTTGGGATTCTGGGTATGCACACACATGTGCCGGGCATGACACTCAAGCTGCTGGGCCCAGGACTCAAATCGCGGTTGGCTGTGTGAGAGTGTAGCAGCTTTACCACACAACCTGCTGGCCCTAGCTGCATCATTAATATGAAAGTACAATAGCTCTTGGCACAGGACTAGAGTAGGAAATTAAATAAATAGATAGAAAAATACCATTTTTCAAGGCAAAGATGTTACCTGTCCTCATCTTGTGTCTTCCAAACTAAGTTCTGTTGCTCAGGGGCATGGACAGTCAAGAGTGTTATAACGCTATTCAGCATTAACAAAAATGAAGAGCAAAACTTATTTTCACAAAACAAAAATAAAATGTTAATGAATGCAACAGTACAGTTAACTAAAATAACATAATATAGATGGTCCCTGACTTATGGTCTGATTTATAATTTTTCAACTTTATGTAAAATTGTATTTCAGGGCCAAAAAAGGGTCATACTTCAAATTTTTTCTTTTTTTTGAGAGATTTTCACTGTAGGGCGCGTGCGCTCGCCAGACAGACAGAGAGAGAGAGACATAGAGACAGAAAGCGAGAAATCACCCCCCAGGGGGGATGGTCACGCTGCAGTCCCTTCTCCTCCATTCTCCTCTCGGGATCTTGGGCATGCACGCACACGCGCCCGGCGTGAGTTTTAAGCCACCGGGTCCGGGACACGAACCGCGGTCGACTACGTGGGAGTCCAGCGACATAGCCATTACGCTAACTGCTGGTTCCCCCATACTTCAAATTTTGATTTCAAAAAAATTTATAACAACTTCATTAAAAATTAGGCTTTGTCTGAAATAACTATGTCCACTATAAGCTACTAGAAGTATCCTGAGCATATTTAAATAGGACTAGGTGGGACTGGCAGGTGGTGTGGTGGTTCAGGCTGCACACTCCCACACGGCTGACCATGGTTCGAGTCCCGGACCTGGTGGCTTGCTTTCTCACTTTCCCCCTTTCTCTCTCTGATCAAATTAAAAATAAATGAGTGAACAAATAAAGTTAAGTAAATAATATCTTAAAATAGATAGATAGATAGATAGATAGATAGACAGACAGGCAAACAGGGCTAGGCAGGGCTAGCCTTGTAGCCTCATGGTTAAGGAAGATGGATCCCACGTGGCAGTTTGGGTCTTGCCCGCTGTGGTTTGAAAAACATACCAGGCACACTTGTGTGTGCTCAAGACCCCGATGGGATGAAAAAACGGAGAAGAGAAGGCCCATGACCACTCATCACTGGAGGTTCTTGTTCTCTCTCTCACTGTCTCTGGTGCATGCACAAGTCCTCCAGCAATAAAAAAATAAAACAGTCAAGGAGCATCTGTAAGTTATTACACTATATATTATATACAAGAGAATGTTTTCAATTTGAGATCCCAGTTTAAAAAGCTTGAATCTTACTAAGAGACTCATTTATAACTTAAAACAGAGCATAAACCACATTTTGAATTGTAATGTCAAATTCCAAAAACAATGTGCTGACAGAAACTACAGTAACTCAATTTTAGATGTAAATACATTAACTGTAATAAAACAGACATACTCACAGCTTGCATTTCTATACAGAAGAAATGGTTCATGGAGCTGAAATTCCAAATCCTTATTCACTGGTTCAACTAGATTGTGCATGTTCAGTCGGTTCACAATGGTAAAACCATGGTAAGGGGAGGCCGATCTTAGATTTATTAAGAGTGAAAAAAAACAAAAGAAAACATGTAGTTAGTGTTTAATCTGTAGAAATGCTATCCACAGTTGACTCTCGAACATGGGTTTGAACTGTGCAGGTCCACTAAGGCGCATATTTTTGTCAATAAAAACTGTAAACGTATTTTCTTATCCTCACAATTTTCACAATCCAGCCCCAACCTCAGCCAGCACCAGGCCAGGGGCGCTCGTAAATATGGCATATTCGGGGAGATTTCTAGGTGCCAACCTGGGAGCTTCCTCCCAGGTCAGTCTCATGGGGTGCTGCATTACAGTGGCACTACCATCTGATCCCACATATACAACGCTATCGGCACTTATAACTGCAGTAAAAAAACAATAAGTCAGCATGCCCCTCCTCTGCTCACAAGTCTCTAGTGACTCTCAGAGTAAAGGCCACCGAGGCCCTTCCTGATTTTATCTCCTGTGCTTCTTCCCTTACTCGCTCTGTTCCAGCCACACTGGGGTCCTCCTGGTCTCTCTGCATGTGTGTGTCCACCTAGAGACCCTGCTTGGGCCCCAGAGTCTGCGGAGCCATCTCGTCTCTCACGAGCTCCTGCTAGATGACACCTCAATGAAGTCGACCTGAACCACCCTTTTTATTGCTCCCAACCTGTTCCCAACGTCAATAACTCAATCCTTCTCTCTTTATCCATACTTGTTTTGTTTTTTTCCTTTTTTTAAAAAAAAAAAAAAAAAAATGTCAGAAGGTATGTATATTTGCCCGGGAGTGACCGAGCAAGAGCATGAAAGCACCATGAAGGGATCGTGTTGCAATGCCGTGTCCTCCCTTCCCTCAGGGTTCTAGGCAGGCATGCACGAACATGTCCTGCCCGCTTCTCAAGCCACCAGTCTGGTCTGGGACTCCAAGCACACAGCTGGCTACATGGGATCCTGCCGTCTTAACCACCACATCGCCAGCTGGCCCATACCACTTGCTTTCTTTTTAATATTTACTGTCTTTCTTCCTCCACTAGAATGTAAGCTCCATGCAAATGGAGAATTTTGTCTCATAGTTTCAAAGGGTGTATCCTATGATAGATACACAGTGCTTGATAAACATTCACTGAATTAAATATCATTCAGTCATTTTAAATACAGTAAGGGCTTGTCTATAACGACTCCTACTACTTCAATGATTTTTCTTGCTCCAAATAGGCCTCTACGTAGTTCTCCTGAGTTAGACGGAAAATGCCCTGAATCCTACAATAAGAAATATCCTTGGTTCCCTACCAGGGGATCTAGTACACAATCCTCCTGCCATTCCTCACAGGTATGTACGTCACACTCACCTATGCCTTCAGAGCTTCTCCGTGTTCCTCTGTGACACACATGGGGAGCCAACAGGATCCTATTCTACAGCTTAGGAAACAAGCTTAGAACGACGAAGGCCCATGGTCAAAGTCACATACACATGTAAGGGGTTCTGCCTTAGGTTTTGGTTCCAAGTCCAAGCTGCTTCTATACTGAAGTGACTTCTTTTCTTTCTTTTTTTTTTGGAGAGGGTTTTGCTATAGGGCGTGTGCGCTCGTCAGAAAGACAGAAAGAGAGAGAGACAGAAAGCAAGAAATCATCCCCCAGAGGGGATGGCCACACTGCAATCCCTTCTCCTCCATTCTCCTCTTGGGATCTTGGGCACGCACGCGCCCAGCATGAGTTTAAGCCTCCGGGTCCGGGGCTCGAACCACAGTCGACTACATGGGAGTCCAGTGACATAGCCATTACGCTAACTGCTGGTCCCAATACTGAAGTGATTTCTGCAAGTAGTATTTTGATGTCCCGGTACACACCTTTATCCAATGTACACAAAATGTTTTTGCCTTTCCCAAATAAAGTTTACTGGGTCACTTTTCATTAGAATAAATACCATAGAGGCCTCTACAAATTGTATTAAATCAAGCCACTCACTATCCTAAATCTCACATTTTCTATAACCAGAAGAAAGTAAGGCTAGTAAATAACTTTCCAAATATAAAGGTTCTAGTAACAAATAAGAGTTCCTAAAGATTTAAATTGTTAATGAAAAATAATGAAGGGGATGAGGATAAATACTCCTTCTGTTAAAGAAAGAGAGTAATACAACAGAATGTTAAAGAAAGAACTTGGTGTATAAACATAAAAACACTTACATGTAAAAGAAACAGTTGAGTGTGTTTAGATAAGACCTCAAAGCTTTACACCAAAATTTAGAAGAACATTTGCCAAATCTTTTAAATGAGTATCAGTGGAGAAAGGCCCTTAAAGAGAATTAGTATGAAAAATGGAAACGAACCAGAGGTCAGCAGTAACTCTTGCTGACTTCCTAAGTGTTGGAAAACAAGGTGGGGAGGAGACTCTGCCCCTGGCAGAGCAAGACCTTAGAGGGACCAAGGAAAACAACTACCCTGGGACTACCATACCCTGTCAGTTGCCTTTAGGTCCCAAAAGTTGCCTAACAAAAACAAAATTACAGTTTGCAAATCCATCTATTTTAAGATAATTAATTCTCAAAGGAGTTAAAAATGTGCAACTAAAAATAACCTGGCTTTCTAAAGAAAGCTCGAATAAACTGAAACTGCACTGGAATCAATTCGCAATTTTTGAGACCTGTGGAAAGGGGACGTAAGAGTCACAGGAGACAACCTCTCACTTAGGAACTATAGAGCAGAGACTGATCTTTCAGCTACCTTACTTTATAGATCTACGTGTTATATATTTCTCAAATATGTAACTTTTTCTTTTTTTCAATACAGGGTGAGGAGGAAAGAGGTGTTTGTTTTAGAGTGATTTATTACTAGAAAATGCTTTCCATTTTGAAACAGTTTTGCTAGGTTCCTAAATAAATCCGAGCTCTAAGGCTGGCCCGATGGTCTGGTAGTTAAGGGAGCTGGATCCCATATGGCAACCCAGGTTTGAATCCAAGCCCTCACGGCTGGGAAAACACCCTTGGCCCAAGTGCGTGCACATGTGCCCCAAATCCCGATAGGATGGAGAACTGCAGAAGGGATTATGGTGTGGCCGCGCCCCAATGGGAAGTGCTTTTTCTTTCTCCCACCCTTTCTGGCTGGTACATGTGCCCTTGATAAAAAGTAAATAAAAATGCAAAAAACTAGTTCTGAATCACAGGCAAGCTCAGAGAAGTAACTTGGTTGGGATCTCACAGCTAAGAATGGATAAAAATTTGAAGGGGACAAGCAGGAAGTTTCAAAGATAAATGTACAACACAATGTAACCACTTTATATATTCACGATTAGATTTTTTAAAAGTATAAATAAAAAGCTTACCTTCGATATACAAATAAGGTCCCTTCTATATCAGTCTTCTCCTGTAATAGATAATAAGTCATTAGTTTTTCCCTATACTCCAACTCCAAATAATCCCAAGGGAAAAGAAATAATTTCCCTTTAAGATCAATTTACTGGGGCTAACAGGTGGTCTGATAGTTAGATGCTGAACTCCCACATAGCCAACCGTGGTTCAAATCCCAGACCTGGTTGCTTGCTTTCTCATTTTCCCTCTTTCTCTTTTTGAGAGAAAAACTAGAAAATAATAATAATAAAGTTTAATAAAATAATTATTTCCAAAAAAATAGAAGATCAATTTATTGGGTTCA